TCAGAGTTGCCACGGACTGACTGTGCACCAAACTCCCACCAGCGAACTGTACAATTTAATTTTTACCCACGAACGCGATAAATTAATGGAGAAAACAAAGAAGAGACGAAATTCAGAAAGGAAATAACGAAGTAGAAATAGGATTAGACGAGAGACAGGGAGAAAGGGGGAGGAGGGTGGAAGGCAACAAGTGATCGTGTGACATTATCGTTGTGGAGACATTGTTTACGCCAGACGCTGAGAAGAAAAGGCGTGCCGTCGCCGTACTGTGGGTGAAAGTGGTAATGATGATGAAAGTGACGATATCGGCGGTGATGGTGACAATGAAAATGACTTGCGTGAGGCCTGAGATGGTAACGCTATTGTTGTGGTTTTATAAAATGGTGGTGATGGTGACTATGAGTGTGAACATGATAACTATGTGTGTCTGTCTCGGTGGTTGTGATAATAATAATAATAATAATACCGGTAGTAATAATAATAATGATAAGGGTAGCCTAGTACAGGATAGCCTAGCCAGTTTACGTTTCCATTTATTATCGTGGGGAAAGCAGATCAAATATTACATAGTTAACGCTTCGGACAGACACACATTCAACAGACATTCAGAGAATGTATACAAAAAATTACGAACTTACGAGTCTTAAAAAAAGTAAATACAATTTATAAAAAAATCTTCCAATAAAGTTTTAGTTCGTTTGGGGAATAATTAATTTCCTTTATATTATTGATTGGAATTTTTTTCTTTGTTTTTAATAAATACGAGTGATCGTGGGCCCTTCGTGCCCGGCGAAAGTCTGAACGCTCGTGCTTGGCTAGCGAGCAACCGCCGTCAGGCTGACAGCTTACAGCGAATGAGGGTGCGCCAAGTCCGTAGACTTTGCATCGTTTTCCAGCGTAAATAAAATGGTTAATTAATGCCTTCCTAAAGGAACCATCGACATGGGACCAGGTTTGTTCCACTCTACGAATTTTTGGTGATTTTTCCACCAAGTTTGATGAAAAACGATTGTGCCGTTGCCCAGAACACACACACACACACACACACACACACACACACACACACACACACACACACACATTGCTATTCCTATAGTACTGTATATTAGATTATTGAGAAAGAGAACATTGTTATTTTATTTTCCTCTTAATTAAGATATGAGGTTAAGCGAGAGAGTGTGTGTGTGTGTGTGTGTGTTTGTGTATGCAATATGTGTTAGGGTGGTTAATCTTTAGGTTGAATAAGCTGTTGTTGTGATTCCCCCATGTGATCCATGTTTTGTATCTGTACCTGTCCCTAACCTAACCTAACCTAACCTAACCTAACCTTACCTTACCAAATCTAACCTAACCTGACCTGACCAAACCGAAATGGACCTAACCTAACCTAACCTAACTTATTTTTATAATTTATCAAGAAATATGACCACATTCACCTTGTAACATAAATCACAACACACCCTCTACAACATACCCTCTGCAACACACCCTCTGCAACACACCCTCTACAACACACCCTCTACAACACACCCTCTAAAATACACCCTCTTCAACACCTCTACAACACACCCCTCTTCAACACACCCTCTACAACAACACACCCTCTTCAACATACCCTCAACACACACCCTCTTCAACACACCTCTCTTCAACACACCCTACACCCTCTACAACACACCTAACACACCTACAACATACCTCTACAATACACCCTCTTCAACACACCCTCGACAACACACCTCTACAAACACACCCTCTTCAACACACCCTCTACAAACACACCCTCTTCAACACACCCTCTTCAACACACCCTCTTCAACACACCCTCTTCAACACACCCTCTACAACACACCCTCTTCAACACTCCCTCTTCAACACACCCTCTACAACACACCCTCTTCAACACACCCTCTACAACACACCCTCTACAACACACCCTCTACAACACACCCTCTACAACACACCCTCTACAACATAAGCAATAACATCCCTGGGGTCAACGTTACTCAGAGGCTCAGGAGTCAACTGAGGGCGTCCACTGACCTTTTCCTCGACGCTGTGACGAGTCTCCCGTTCTTCAGCGATGGGACTTGGGACCCGAACTCTAAACTTGAAGAGGCCGCGGGTGTTGAAGAGAGGTCTCATGATAACGAGGAGTCCGGTTATGTGTTGCGGGTGTGAGGTGCAGAGCCGGTCAGCCTTAGAGCTGAGGTGAATATGCAGTTCTTCACAGTTGAGTAAATGTGGTATTTGAATTGATTCAAGTAGATGAGAAGGTTTGGTGTGAGTAGTAGGATCATTAACCGTGATATAAGTAGACGGACGTAGAAGCTCTCGCGTGGGAGGGTTTTGTTATAAAGGGTGAACACTAGTAGTGATAACCAACAGCTCGAAGTCGCCGTCGTGACACAAACTCGACGGAACTGAAGATGGAAGGTCACGCAACAAAGGCGTTGATTAACGTCTGCTCTCGTGGTGCATCAGCTTACAGCTGACAGTGTCATAAATTACCTGCACAGGTGAGTTAGGCGGTAAAATACTAACTTGAACAGCGTGTAAAAGTCGATGTATTGTAAACCTTTCAGACAGTTTTCTCGGTTGTTTTCACAAGCAAGTAACTCGTCTTCGCTTATGTCGACAGCTCCTTCGGTGCTCGTGTGTTCAGTACGTTGTCGCCAGCCTTACAAGAAATCCCCCGGCAAACAGTGGCCTACCAGAGGTTCTGCGTCAGAGTGACGAACTATCCAGGAAGTCGCTGAAATGTCGGTGACGATCGCCGGGTTACCAACACGAGAAACAGGCTCGCCCTGGCCACGTGACCCCATACTGTCTTCCTCGCCTCTCGTCTCCTATTGCAATCACGCTCCGCTCATGGCAAACTCAAGAGAAGTTTAACCTTATCTGAGATTTATGTTCCCATGAGATTTTTTTGCCACAAGTTAAACAGAGTCAAGACATAGGGGGTGGCAATATCGACAGTGGGGGGGTGGGGGTTGTGAGTCAGACATCAGGTGATCGTACATATTGCTATAAATGGTGGCACCGTGAAGTTGTGGGGTGTCGGTGTTAGCTGATGATCTAACCTCTCCTCCCCCCCACCTCCCTACCCCTAGCCCCAACTCGTGCGCCCCGCCCCTCCCCACCACCACCCACACGTCTGGAGGGCTTCACACACGCACAACAGGTGTTCACAACTTTTAAGGCATGAATTAATACTTGATGACGTGTGAAGGCTTTACACTACACAGAAATTAATAACTGGGTCAAGTGTACATTAGAGAGAGAGAGAGAGAGAGAGAGAGAGAGAGCTTCAATGATACCACAATCCCAAGAACCAAAAAATTTAGACTGCCTTCCGTATAATTCTCTCAACGTCTTTCACACTGAACACAACAAACCCACCACCTAGAACACCCGGTATAGCCTGACGAAGGACACGAGAACAACAACACCCAGCAGGAAGACCCCAAAGGAACCGACCTATACCTGGCTCGCACACTTTCACTAGAGTTAATGAACCATACGTACTTAACTTACCTGACTCGCCTGACTTTCTGAAAACCATATATATCACTCCTATCTTGTTTAAGTTAGGGTTATTTTTTCTCTGATTTTGGCTATTGTTATCATGCAGTCAAGTGTCAGAATGGAAGTAATGATGTGTGTGTGTGTGTGTGTGTGTGTGTGTGTGTGTGTGTGTGTGTGAGTAAATAAATATCATGTCACAGTGGGATATTAGTGATATATCCCAACACACTTCAGTATCTTTACATGGTCACGTTTTAGCGTCGACTATAACACGATAAATTTAGGCCCAGAGACACACACACTGTAATTATCATCCTGACAATATTAATCCTCAAAGGTAAAATTCATCTAACACTATGAACTTGAACCTAACACTACACATACACACTACACTACACATACACACTACACTACACATACACACTACACTACACATACACACTACACTACACATACACACTACACTACACATACACACTACACTACACATACACACTACACACATACACACGTGGGTATAGGAAACAATGATAAGTAAAACGTCTATCACTAATGAAGTATAAGAAACAACACTTTTTCAAGACAGCTAAGTAAAAAAAAAACACCCCACTGACAGTTAGGTTAGGTTAGTTTAGGTTAGGTCAGCTTAGGTTAGGGTAGGGTATAGTAGGTTAGGGTCAATTGGGTTAGGTTAGGGTAGAGTATAGTAGGTTAGGGTCAATTGGGTTAGGTTAAGTTAGGTTCGGTTCAGTTCGGTTAGGTTAGTGTCGAGAGAAAACATATCACACGCCTCTATAATAACGTAGATAGAACACAAGGGGGTAACTCACTCTATTGTATACCTTCAAGACTATAACATATCAACTACTAAATGCGAGGAGGTATACCGTATAATTAACTATATACTAAGGTGAAAATAATATGACAAATGGACGTGCCACTACATTAGACCTGTAGATGTAGTCGTCAAGAAAATCCTCCGCCATTCTAAAATTTTCGGTGAGGTGAACTGAGGAGACATATTTGTCTATCTCCTTCAGTGTGTTATTGAGTCATGTAACAAAATAATAGTCTTGTCTGTATGTCTGTCTGTCCTCTCTCTCCCATCCATGAGGCTTGAGACTCATGAACTTGTGAATCCATGAACCCTGAGACACATGAATCTGTGAATCTGAGACATCATACAGTGTTCGGTTCATAGATCGTGTAATGTCTCGGATTCACAGTTGGATGAGTGTCAAGGTTCATGGGTCTCAGGGTTCATGGGTTCACGGGTTCATGAGTCAGGGTTCATAGATGAGTCGAAGAACTGACAGCATTTTCTTCTGGGTATATTTACTGGTTGACTGTCAGAGGAGAGAATGATGAGTTAAATAGTGTGGTGTGTCGTCAGCTCACAGCAAAGAAAAGTTTAGAAAGTATATAACGGTCATGGGAGGAGGAGGAGGTGGTGGTGGTGGTGAGGGGCCGACCTGAGGGTTCACGTTGTGTCTCATGAAGGAGTGCTGACGGGGAAGTCCATTAGGCAGGAGGCGTTGGTTGGCGTCACTCTGTAAGGCGACCATACGGGGTTAAAAATCATTCTGACTGATCAAGTGGGAACCCGGTACTGTCGATGGGGTTAGGTTAGGTTAGGTTTTGGTTAGGTTTAGGTTAGGTTAGGTTTTGTTAGGTTATGTTAAGCTATGTTAGGTTTAGGTTAGGTTAAGCTATGTTAGGTTAGGTTTAGGTTAGGTTAAGCTATGTTAGGTTAGGTTTAGGTTAGGTTAAGCTATGTTAGGTTAGTTTTAGGTTAGGTTAAGCTATGTTAGGTTAGTTTTAGGTTAGGTTAGGTTAAGCTATGTTAGGTTAGGTTTAGGTTAGGTTAAGCTATGTTACGTTAGGTTTAGGTTAGGTTAGGTTAAGCTATGTTAGGTTAAGTTAGGTTAGGATGGGGAACCTTTAGGGACCGTGCCATCACTTTGACCTGCAATGATGACCAGTACTCAGGAAGACAGCCCAGGAGACGACACAGGTGATACAGTGAAACCTCTATTTAACGTACTGTGTTAATACAAAAGTCCGCTATATCGAGCGTCCGTTATATGTGAAAGCCCCTATATAATGGATAATGTAGAGAGATAAGTTCGTTATATGGAGGTGTCAATTTAATGTACCGGTGGTCAATAGAGTATACATAAACATAAGGCAGTAAGTCAATCAGGATGAAAGACACACACACACACACACACACACACACACACACACACACGCACACAGGTCATACAGCCACTCAGGAATCTAGACCACATATGGGATAACACAGGCTTTTAACATAGTTTTCCTATACTGTCTCATAAGAACATAAGAATAAAGGAAACTGCAACAGGCCTATTGACCCATTACTAAGCAGTCTCGTTTACACCCAACCCCTATCGCTCATATATGCGTCCCATGTATAATTGAAGCTATCTAGCGTATTCGAGTTAATGATGATGTTTGGTAACTTGTTCCACTCAACCACTACTCTATTTCCAAACCAATGTTTACCTATCTCGCGCCTAAATCTAAATTTGTCTTATGTAAAACCATTGCTGCGAGTTCGGTTTTTTTTTTTTTTTTTGTTACGATTAGCCCACCCGAGCACAGGTCACTGACTCACATCGGGGTCTGGGAGGCGAAAATGTAATAATAATAATAATAATTCATAGCAAATAAATTTTATAATAAAAAATATTAAAATAATGATGATAATAATAATAACTGTAATAATAATAATAATAATAATAAAGAACCATAAATACAAAAATGAAAACAGATCAAAAGTGAGAAACAACATATGTATGTTGTGTTGTCAATATTACGAGAAACAATTGAGACCCTGCAATTGTGTGTACGTAAATGAGACAGAAAGTCAGATCAGCAACCTGGGACTTGGTCACAATTTTCGTGATGCCATATGGCAGCAGGGTCTACCATTAGACAACACATTATGCTTCCAATATCTTCCCAGGCGGTACTACCTCCCTGTGATACCATCCTAGAGGCTAGTCGTGCATGTGGGACGATGCCCGGGATTAGTCTTGTTATCCGCCTCTCTATGCTTTCTAGGGATTCGATATACATTCTGTAGTACGGTGACCAGAACTGAACTGCAAAATCCAAGTGAGATGTCTCTAGATTCTTGAGGAACGAATAGAACATTTGTCTTACTCGTCGGCACAACATTAAGCGAATAGGGTGAAACATACAAGCGTGTCGGCCAAAAAAAAAGACACTGACTGAAACAAAAGCCCGTTAGGAAAACAAAATTGAAACACAAAGAGGGAAATATCTTAAGCGTGTTACTGTAGGAAAACCCCAGATAACATGACAAAACATTGCTGTGGTCTTACTTAATGAACCGGTATAATGTGTCTCATCCGGCCAAACTTATTAGGTACAGAGACAAAGTGACTCACAGCGTCAGGACCACAAAAATCATTACGTTATTGTTCAGTGTAAAAATTATGGGCAAATAAATAAAAATCCCTAAAATATTTTTGTATATGGGAGATGGTAGTGATATAGTATTGTATATATGTATAAAGTCTCCGTATATATGTATAAAGTCTCCGTATATATGTATAAAGTCTCCGTATATATGTATAAAGTCTCCGTATATATGTATAAAGTCTCCGTATATATGTATAAAGTCTCCGTATATATGTATAAAATCTCCGTATATATGTATAAAGTCTCCGTATATATGTATAAAGTCTCCGTATATATGTATAAAGTCTCCGTATATATGTATAAAGTCTCCGTATATATGTATAAAGTCTCCGTATATATGTATAAAGTCTCCGTATACATGTATAAAGTCTCCGTATACATGTATAAAGTCTCCGTATACATGTATAAAGTCTCCGTGTTGGTTGCTGCATCTCGGTCAGAATTATTATAAGCGAGTCGACCATACCATTTGCCTCCTCTGTCGTTGTCTCTAAATACTGTCCCGGATGTGTTGTTCTCGTGACTCGTCTCTCCACAACAAGGTAAAGTTTAGACAGATAAGGCAGAGATGACTGTATTACATGCAGCAGTGGCCACCTGTGGTGCAATGGTCAGCATGCTCGCCTCGCAAGCGAGCAGACCCGGGTTCGTTCACCGGGTAGGGTGAAACTATGGGCAAGTTTCTTTACGCCATTTGTCTCGTCTACCCAGCAGTAATAGGGGACCTGGAAGTTAATTGATTTGCGAATCGTGTTCCGGGGTAATGGTTAGCCAGTTGTCTTGGCGACAGCTTCTACACCTTCAACAATTTTACGCCTAGGTGGACCTTGGGCCGGCCATCCTCGTTACGAGGGGCAACCATTATATGTAGCAGTTTGATAGTGGGATTAAAATTGTCCTATGAAGTAATTTTTTTGACCTTTAGTGATACCAATAATATCTAATATAATACTTCATTTAGCTACTTCTTCGAATACAGGCTGTGGTATTTTATGATTGTATCCGGGTATTATTATTATTATTAACGTGACCACAGAGGCGCGAGAGGTTGGTACCCTGATGACCTGCCTGACTGACTCCTGCACCTCCAGGAAGACACACACCGTCATAAACCCGTGACAGGAGGCAGCTCAAGCGCCTCTCTACACTCCACTTCATTCCTGAGTCACCCCCAGCTGTATCTTTGACTATACTGTACCTGCCAGTTCTTGCTCTGGTTTACTCTTAAGAAGATTTTCTTAATAATAATAATAATAATAATAATAATATAATGATAGTAATAATAGTGATAGTAATAATAATAATGATGTTAGTAATAATAATGACGGCAATAATAATAATAATAATAATAATAATAATAATAATAATAATAATAATAATCATCATCATCATCTGAGCGGAAGCAACTCATTGTCACAAGGTAAATAACTAGTGACCCTGTCGCCTGTCGTCTCACCATCGCTTTCTTTCTTTAGTCACCTTGCACCAACCTTTACCATGGCAACTCTAGGTGAATTATGGCATGATATACACACGAATGATTTACCATGCCGTTCTCAAGCTATTTTTGGACACACACACACACACACACACACACACTGACGTAAACAGACTGCCACAAAAACAACAAAACGTCGAGCTAAACGTATTAAGATCACCAAACGCTTACAGTCGAGTATGGTCACGAGTGTGTGTGTGTGAGTGTGTGTGTGAGATCCACTTAGCTGGGGGCAGGCAGGAGTCACAGCACTGCATCATGGTCGTCTCGTTGTCGTTCACCAATTAGTGGTCGTGCACGTGTGTCACCGCTGCCCTTGACTCACCTGTCGAGGGGGTCACGTGTCACCAGGTACAAACAGATACACACATACACACGCGAATATGTACTTACCTATACATACATACATACATACAAACACACATACACACTCACCTAACCTAAACTAACCTAACCATAACTTATACTTTCCGATCCTAACTTAAACCTAACCTATACTATCCTATTTTGTCCTCACATAATCTAACCTAACCTATCCTATCCTATTTAAATCTAACCTAATCTTTCCTAACCTATCCAGTCCCATCGTTACCCATCCTATCCTACCCTAACCTAAATTATTCTCACCTAACCTAATCTAACCAACCTAATCTAAACACTTTTGATGTCAACGCTCAGATGTAGGTAGACAAAAGCGACAAGGAAATACAACATTATTACAACATCCACTTTGCAATTTTTCCAATCAGTTTTTATTCTCAGTCGTTTCGTATTGATCTATTGTGACGTTATGTATAATTATGAGCCAATCCATAGCGTTATTCATTGGTGACGTCACATTATTGCGGGGGGGTTGACATCATATCGTAGCCAGGTTGTCTACTGGAGGGTGGTGGAGGGGGTTCATGCGCTGTACTATCCTCCGCTGTTGACGTCATGTCATACAGCCACGCCATGCGCTGGTGACGTCATGCATTACTGACTTCATGCACGAGAGAGAGAGAGAGAGAGAGAGAGAGAGAGAGAGAGAGTACTGTACATCTAACATTCATACTAACCTAAGATACATACTACAACATTCAACACATCTAACATCCACAACTACAGAAGGCAAAAACAGGTTCGGGATTGAAGCTCCTCTTGACCTACGATCACAATCACACTAGAGTTTCTACCCAGAATAAATCCACCATAGCGATGATTTTTCAACGAACTTCTCAAGTTGTCTCTCCAGCGGCAAAAAGTCATAGTAAATAAATAATAATAATAATAATAATAATAATAATAATAATAATAATAATAATACATTACGACGGGAATTTCATTTGACTCGAGAGTAACTTGTGTCACTTTTGTAAACAAACATCGCTTGGACGCTACAAACGCACACCGTGACGGATACTGCTATCCACAATCGGTTTTTTTCATCTTGGTATTCTTTAACAGGACCACACATCTCACTAAAGCGGTTAATGCTGCCATAGCTACATACAATGAAGTCATCCTGCTCTCCAACGGAGCTCAAACTGGCCGCGTAAGCTGGGAGTCTGGCCGATGGCTCCTTTCTCCAGTGTGTGGATTGTACCGTGGACTTATTGCCTGTGGATGAAATGCTATCGTGGATTTATTGCACAGAAAACTCGAGTGTGACCATAGGTTTACGGAACCGCACAGGAAGACAGATATATTCAGTCGTAGGTAAAGTCAACTACTGTATTAAAATCCCTTCACCTCTCCTCCTGAACCACGAATCCCCGAGAGATTCAAGACTCACGAATCCGAAGCATTAATGGACAGAGTAAATGTATCAGTCCACTGCTTTGGGTTCATGAGTCTGAATCTCTCTCGGGGGTTCGTGGTTCAAGATGGAGAGGTGACAGGACTTTAGTAGCTGACAGTACAGGTATAACAGTTGTTGATGGTTACGCTATGAGACTAAACAAGACCTACTGTACACACTCAACAAAAACATCTCGAACTCCTGGGCACGATGGCTGTGAGAATGAGCAGAATGGGGCTTGTGAACTGGGAATGGTTTCAGATTCTTCGTTTATTTTTCCGATTGCATAGTGCTTATAGCGTTCAAGAAGTGTTCGGTGAGAGTGTACGTGGTATACTAGCAACACTGTGCACACGAACACCCCCGGTAGACACAACATGAGGTCACTGGCAGGCAGACGGGTGATCATTACGAATACAAGATGCTCTGACCCGTCAACCAAGAGGTAAATCACGCTATTCTACTCTACAAAAGAGAGAGAGAGAGAGAGAGAGATATTCTGTCATAATTGGGGGATAGAGGGGCATATTCTCCCATAAGTGGATAGAGGGGCATATTCTCGCATAAGTGGAGGATGGAGGGGCATATTCTCCAATAAGAGGACAGAGGGGTATATTCTCGCATAAGTGGAGGATAGAGGGGCATAATTGGAGGGTGGAAGGGCATATTCTGGCATAAGGGGAGGGTAGAGAGACATATTCTGGCATAAGTGGAGGGTGGAGGGGCACATTTTGGCATAAATGGAGGGTAGAAGGGTATGTTTTGGCATAATTGGAGGGTGGAGGGAAATTCTGGCATAATTGGAGGGTATAAAGGCATATCCTCGCATAAGTGGAGGGTAGAGGGGCATAGTCTCGCTTAAGTGGAAGATAGAGTGGCATAATTGGAGGGTGGGGGCATAATTTGGCTTAAATGAAGGGTATGGAGGCAAATTCTGGCATAATTGGAGGGTGGAGGGGTATAATTTGGCTTAAGTGGAGGGTGGAGGGGCATATTCTGGTATAAGTGGAGGATGGAGGGGCATATCTGCATAGTAGGCATACAGTAGATAGTAGAGAACATAAGGAGTGGAGTTGGGGGCTTAATAACTGATTCATCTGTAAGGTAAAATCATACTATGCCCTGAAAAGGAATAGATTTAGGGGCATATTCTGGGCATAAGGAGGAGGTGAAGAGAAAGAGGAGGTAATGCAACTGTAGAGGTCGTCTTGGAGAACAGAGGGAGGAGGAGGAGGGGGAGGTCATGGAGGTCGTCTTGGGGAACAGAAGGAGGTCATGGAGGTCGTCTTGAGGAAGGGGAGAGTAGGAAGGAGGAGGAGGAAGGTGGAAAGGGGGAAAAGGAGGAGGAAAGGAGAAAGGAAGAGAGGAGGAAGGAAGGAAGGAAGGAGGGTGGAGGAAATAGTTACGTCAACAGAAGCACAACACCACAAGATGCTCTAAGGCACACAAATGCAATAAGGAACAATGACAAGTAATAACAACACGTAACATTAACAGGGCAACAACAACAACACGGAACAGTAATAGGTAACAACAACAAGAACACGGAACAGTAATAGGTAGGTAGCATGAAGTAACCTGACTTATAGCGAAGGCTGACTGGGGACGAACAAAACTGCGCTCTCTCTGCAAACATCGTCTGTCACCCTGGAACACGCGGACACCAAAACAAGTATTAAGGAAAGACGAGGTTACGTATGAGAGAGAGAGAGAGAGAGAGAGAGAGAGACGTGTTGAATATGTGAGAAAAGCAGGTTATCCATAAGCTACTGTTTGAGGTTACATTCTTGGATACGTGGAAAAAGCATTGAAAGTCATATCAGAGAAACATATTTTTTTTGGGGGGGGGATACGTGAGAAAGCCATCATGATTATTGAAGAAAGACATATTTTTGGAGGGATGAGAATGCTGATTACCAGAAGCCATAGTAAAGGTACACATAATTGGACAGGTGAGACATAATACATAAACCAATGCACAAAGCCATAGTTGGGACACATATTAGGTACGTGAGAAAGACATTAGGGATACATACTGGATAGACACGTGAGACATAACATATAAAGCAGGATACAAAGCCATATTCAAAGACACATTTAGGACACGTGATACATAATTGAGACATACAGGGACAAAGGCATCTATAACTCAATACATGGGCAACACGAAATCATAAACAGAGATCTTTCAGCTCGTTTAAAATACAAATGACGTGTGGTTTGGTTAGGTTAGGTTAGGTTACGTTAAGATGGGAGGGGTTTGGTTAGGTTAGGTTAGGATGGAAGGGGTTAGGTTAGGTTAGGTTACGTTGAGATGGGAGGGGTTTGGTCAGGTTAGGTTAGGATGGAAGGGGTTAGGTTAGGTTGGGAGGTTTGGTTAGGTTAGGTTGGAGGAGGTTTGATTTGGTTAGGTTAGGTTAAGTTAGATTATGGTAGAAAGTTAGGTTAGGTTGGGTTTAGTTAAGTTAGAAGGAAGATAAGTTAGGTTTTTGTTTATTTTAGAGGTTGGTTAGGTTAAGTTAGATAAGGTTGGGTTAGGTTATGGGAAAATAAGGGATAGCTAGTTTAGGCAAAATTAGGTTAGGTTAGGTTAGGTTAGGTTAGGTTAGGTTAGGGTAGGTTAGGTTAAGCTATAGGTAAGATTTGGTCAAGTTTAGGATGTTTAGGTTAGCTTAAGTTTGATATTGTTAGGTTAAGTTAATCATGGTATACCAAAGCCACACTAACATCACAGTCATGTTGTCTGTCTGCTGGGAAGGCTCACTGTCTCAGAAGGGTCACGAGTTCACGGTGAAAGTACAGCACCACACAGTCAAAAAAGGATCTTCACGGCTGGGTCCGATGATTTGGGAAATGAACACTGCGTCTCCCCTTATCTCGGCAGGGTTGTCAGAATCCTTTGTCCGTTGTTTCATATTGCCTAACACAAAATCGTAAGGATACTTTTTGGAGCGAGTGTTATAATGACAATAACTTCATTTCCTACCCATTAGATTAAGTGAAAGTAGAGGGCGGTGCGGATACAGTACACTGAATGGGTGAACCTTGGATGTAGTGTGGCTGGCTGAGCACTACAGGCCATTTTGTTCTGTTAAACGCTGTGGGACTGATGTCATGGGCATGTATAAGGATTTGTTCCAAGTTGCACCACACAGATAAATATATACACGTGGTTTTATAAGCTCGTATCACGATAAAGATATTCTTATACGTATATTGAGATGAATAACATGTTGGTATACAAATAGACACACTTGGAAAATAACGCCAGTGTCCTCTCAGTACAATGACTAAAACCATCTGCAGGAAGAAACTAAACACGGTCTTATGTGTAACTTCTCGTTTGTGATGTGTTTAACCTAGTTTAACTGTTGTAGTGAAAAAAGGAGATAGTTTACCCTCACTGTTCAAGAGTTGGTGTGTGTGTGTGTGTGTGTGTGTGTGTGTGTGTGTGTGTGTGTGTGTGTTGTGGTGGTGGTGGTGGTGGTTGCGGCGGAAGGAACTGAGAGAGATATAATGAGGTGTGAGGAATTTATTTAGCCTTGCCCTAGTTAAGTGTGAGTCCCTGAGAGAGGCATTGACTCCCTCCCTCCCTCCTTCCCTCCACACACACACACACACACATACAGTACATACACACACACACACACACACACACACACCTGTCAACCCTGTCATCTCTTAAGTAACATTGCATTACTTTCTCGTCAGCACACACACACACAGGAAAGTCATTCATATCCGACATCACAAGGGGCCATTGACACGCTAATATTTCCTAAGTGTAATTTTTATCTATCGACACTAACAACCCTGGTGGAAGACTTAATAACTAACAATTAAAGTGAAAGTCATAACCTGAAATACGATACTTATACTAATGACAATATCACTCCCCCCCCCCCTTTGCTTCCTGTAAAAGCTCTCGCTGAAGTGTTTAAAGTAATAGCTTTCATCTTCTGTAATTCAAGCATGATAATTCGCTATGTCAAGTATCATACAGACGGATGGAGGGTTGGACTCGCAGGCATGACGCTCCTCCCCAGAATGAAGCTAACAGGCATACACGGTAACTGGGTAAGTACTGGTAATGAAGCTGTCAAGAGGTGGGCGTGACAACAGGAGTCTCAGTACGCATGCGCAGAGCCTTTGTTTACGTTTCATTGATGGCGGGTCGTCGTTCCCTCCCGGTCTCCCGGTCTTCACATGGAGGCTCATTATATATTCTGTTTTCGACCTTAATTCGGGTTTATACACAAGAAAATAATAGTTAATTATTGACCAATTTAGAGAAAGTTAATATATACTTAAGAATTATTTTACCACCGCGAAAATTATATGCTGAGGTAATATTAACATAAAAAAAGTATCATTCACTGTTATTCACAATCTATCAGAATATCCAGCGATGCAAACGTAGATAACTAATTCACTCCCTAGTTCATTAAATACTAAAATCTTTAATACGACAAAGCAACCATGTCACAGTTTCACCCATTGCACCTTAACACAATCAATATACTAACCTAACCTCTCTGCTATGGATGTATGTTTGATTATTTATTTTTCTCGTTTATCCAGTGCTTGTCTACCATCTTATTAAACTGGCCCTAAACTGATCAAGACTGTACACTCTTGTTCGGGTTTTATTGACAGAATTTGTACATGTTATCAGTGTTAGGTAGCGGGTGATGTTATTGATGTGGGGTGATGTTAATTGATGTAGGGTGATGTTATTGATGTGGAGGTCTTAGTTATTGATGTAGGGTGATTTTAATTGATGTGATGGTGAGGTTTAAAATGTGGGGTGATTTTAATTGATGTGGAGGTGTTAGTTATTGATGTGGTGGTGATGTTAATTGACGTCGGGTGATTGCAATTGATGTGGTGGTGATGTTAAAAATGTGGGGTGATTTTAATTGATGTGGAGGTGTTAGTTATGATGGTGATGTTAATATGTGGGGTGATTTTAATTGATGTGGTGGTGATGTTAAAATATGGGGTGATTTTAATTGATGTGGTGGTGATGTTATTGATGTGGTGGTGATGTTAATTGACGTCGGGTGATTGCAATTGATGTGGTGGTGATGTTAAAATGTGGAGGGTGTTAGTTATTGATGTGGTGGTGGTGTTGATTGATGTGGGGTGATGTTATTGATGTACGGTGACGTTAATTGACGTGGTGGTGATGTTAATTGATGTTGGGTGATGTTTATTGATGTGGCAGGGTGTTAGCTATTGATGTGGGGTGATGTTAATACCACACTAACATGTTAACTGTAATTGAAGGTATACATTTTGGTATTAATTTTGTTATAGGTAATCATTACAGTAACACTATATCATCTTTCTTTATACCTCTCATGGTGTGTGTGTGTGTGTGTGTGTGTGTGTGTGTGTGTGTGTGTGTGTGTGGAAGGTGTTTTTTGGCTATATATGTGTAAAATGTGTGTGTTCGTGGAAAGTTCTAAAGTTACTTTTGATGATGATAATAATAATAATAATAATAATAATAATAATAATAATAATAATAATAATAATAACAGGAAAGTTCGTGAATATAGAATCAATAAAAGCTGTTATTACGGTGTACAGCCTCACTATCGCGCGCACACACACACACACACACACACACACACACACAGAAGACGATATACTTACAGACATAAAGGATCTTACTATGGTTTTAGATAAATACAGCAACACAAACAAAGAAAGATACAGGCAGACACGGAGGTGGTATAGACAGACAGACAGACAGACAGACAGACAGATAGACAGACATATTGGGAGGGACATAAGGGGAAAATAATCATAGTATCAATAATAATCTTATTTTTTTTTTAAGTTGGATGTTTACTCACATTATTGTTGTTATTGTTATTGTTGTTGTTCTTGTTGTTGTTGTGGTGGTACTGCTGCTGCTGGTGGTGTGAGTGCCTGACGAAGCTCCTCTCCTTCTTCATGGCCGTCGGGTCCTGCTGCCCCCTTGCCTCGCCGCCCTGAAACACACAAATATTATTATCAGCATGAAGACAAGTTATTGGGACTATTTTAATATTAATTTGCCCTAACCTAACCTAACCTAATGAGACGTACCGGTAACCTAACCTAATCTAACCTGACGTACCGGTAACTTAAACTAACCTAAACTGACGTACCGGTAACCTAATCCAAACTAACCTAAACTGACGTACGAATAACCTAACCTAATCTGACGTACCGGTAACCTAACCTAACGTACCGGTATCCTAACCCAATCTGACGACGTACCGGTAGCCTAACCTAACCTAACGTACCGGTAGCCTAACCTAATCTAACCTGACGTACCGGTAACCTAGCCTAAACTAACCTAAACTGACGTACCGGTAGCCTAACCTAACCTAACGTACCGGTAACCTAACCTAGGCCTACCAGTGATAATCTAACCTCCCCTACCACCCCCCCCAAAAAAAACAAGCCTATAATACCTCTCAAATAACACCTACATGTATGTATAAAGTTAATACAATCACTATAAATAATTCCTAAATACATATCAAATTTGGAATTTTTATAAGCTATCATTTAGTATGTAACAATGTACCGTCTATAAGTACCGCCTATAAGTACCGCCTATATGTACCGTCTATAAGTACCGCCTATATGTACCGTCTATAAGTACCGCCTATATGTACCGTATATGTACCGTCTATATGTACCGTCTATAAGTACCGTCTATATGTACCGTCTATATGTACCGTCTATATGTACCGTCTATAAGTACCGCCTATATGTACCGTCTATAAGTACCGCCTATACAGTATGTACCGTCTATAAGTACCGTCTATATGTACCGTATATAATTACCGTCTATACCATTAAGAGGAACTTTAATGAAGTAGATTTTTTTTAGCAGTAAGGGAGAGTAAAATTGTACTGCCAGAGAGCAAGGAATGGTGATGGGAAAACGCCTGGTAGTCAGTCAAGAGTCACTGTTGTTCTGGGTTCAGGAGGCGACAGTGATATACCATTTAACACACGAGATGAATCAGTGTAAATATATATAATTTAACCGAATCTGATTAATCTGACCTGACTTAACCTAATTTAATCTAACCTTAACCTATTTTAATCTGACCTAACGTAACCTAATCTAATTTAACCAAAAGCTAACGTAACCTAATCTGATCTAACTTAACCTAACCTAATCTAACCTAACCTAACCTAATTTAACCCAAAGCTAACCTAACATAATCTAACATAACCTGATTTAATATAACCTGATCTAACCCAATGTTAGGTTAGGTTAAGTTAGGTTTTTCTATTTAATGTAAATATTTTAACACCGTAGCCTACCTCCAGGATTTAAGACACTACTACTACTACTACTCTCTTGAATCACTTCCTCGTTCATACACTAATTAATTCTTATCAGTACTAAAGCTATGGTTGAGTTTACCCATAATAATAACTACTCCAGTGAAATGTAAATGAATAGAAGAGACACATTAACACTTTCCTAATCTGTGATCCTCTACCTACGATAATACAACACTAACTTAAACATACACATCCTAAACTGATAAAAGTATACATAGAGCATAAATAATAACAGTGGATATCCATTCTTTCCAGCACAGATTATGGTTTTGGCTTTAGTTTAGGTATATCTTTATTAATTTTTTGGTCTGGGGAAACACAACATACATTTGTTTATCGAACTGTACCGAGAATGTTTTGTGTTTTGTGGTGTAAATAATGAAAGACTTGATCCTGGGTGGTGAGATAAATGTTGTGTGTGCTGGATAGAAGGAACGGCCCTCCAGGGAACAACTTTACCTGTGGGTTGTGGAAGGCCACACGACGTCCCCTACCGCCCATTGGTACTTGTATAAGAAGCATCGCCCTCCCACTCAGACTGTTCTATCACGTCTTAAAAACAGGCGTCTTCACAGCTCCGCCCACTTACCATGTGACGCCTGATACGTTTTGAGCCCTGAGTGGGTGTCGTTCAGAAAGTCTCTTAGTTTTATAATTCGGAGATTTCGACACTAAACTTCTTAAACGAGAAAGAAGTATTCAGATCTCCGTCGTTTCTTGATCAGAGAAAACCGTCACTTGTACGTTTTCTGTCGTTGTGGAGTTGGGGGGTGTACTGTAGGTCGTGTGATGTGAAGGATTTTATTTCTCACTTATTCTCACTGTCAAGCACTCGTCATTTGCCTTTTCTTTGCAGTATTCTAAGTCTGTTACTACACTTACACCTCCCTCAGCTGTCAACTAAGCAAGGTAATGTTAATTCAGAATCCGTTTTCTTTCGTAATGAAGAACAGAGAGAGAGAGAATGTAGGAGCTTTCTGGGGTAACTTGTCTATTCCTCTTGGCACTTATGTATCGTGCAGTCTGCGGCTTTTATTTTACATACGGCTACACATCGATCCTTTATTTTGGATTAGTTGATTGATTGATTTTCAGGGCCTCCCAGAATGAATTAAGAACTTTTCTGTTATTTATACCTGTAAAAGATATTACATATAAAACCTACACTTGAGAAATATTTTATAACGGTGACTGGCTTGGCTGTTAGAGACTTGAACACTTGAGAAACTAACAACTTTCTTTCGGTAAAATCCGTAAAAAGAAAAACAAAATCAGATACATATTTCTGTGTCCATCTATAAAAATATCTACAGTTGTACACCAAACTTTATCAATTAAATAATGGGTATTTTTTTTTTCGGACATGAGCCCCTAGGGCCTAGGGCTTGATCAATATGTTTTTCCAGTGTATTTTGGTGTTTTAAACGAATCTGACTTTTATATTTGGCGAAAATTTATCGTTTTTGCCCCCCCCCCCCAATCGATAATGGAGGAGGGCCTGGGATAATGCGGTTTTGGGTGGGGAAGAACACGAAAACTACTCGTCTAATCTAACCAATCCTAACCCCTAGCCGGGGGGGCTCCATCCCCATACCCCCGGTAAGCTTAGCTTAAACTAACCAAACCTATCCTATTCATTTCTAACAAGAATAAATGGGGTTCAAAAGACTAAAAATACTGAGATCTAAATGTTTCGGTAGTTTTAAACTTTGGGGCGCGCCATTGCTGAAAGTACAATATACCTGTACCTTAGTTAGAAGTGGAAGGACCAGAGATAGGTTCAGGGTCAACCTCTCATGCTTGTTCTTTCTAAAATCACAAGGCAATTTACAGTGCAGGCACTCAACAGATGTAATTGGATAGCTTGATCGTCTTTCTCGTAAATCTCAGCAATAAACTTAAAATAGTCGTAGGAGCACAATTCACACCCAACTCATACCACGGCCATTGTCACACAAGTTACTGAAATTGAAATCCTTCAAATCCGTACCTTGGCTCCTCCCTTTAAAAAAAATTATATTTTGATTAGTCGAAAAAAATTCGCGTGATGAGATCAATACATCATTGGTCACGACTGGAAGACGTCACGCACGCGTATGTAAACACGCTGAGAATTAGCTAACTTTCACAATGATAACATCTCCTCACATAAACGAATACTGAAAAGTACGTAATATCAATTAATTCCATTGTGTCGTTATTATCCATTTCCGCCAGGTATATATGGGGTTCAAAATGCTCAGCATAGGGAAATCTAAATGTTTCAGTAATTCATAACTTTGGGGCGCGCTATGTCCGAAAGTAAAATAATACCAAATATTGACATGAAAATTTAAATCAATGATATATATATATATATACATATATATATATGTATATATATATATATATATATATATATATATATATATATATATATATATATATATATATATATATATATATATATACCCTCGAACGGAATGTAAGGATTACCTGTAGAACCACCACCCCAGCTTATTTCACCAAAAGATTATTAACCAGCTTAATACTATATGAGGGGGGATGAAGTAGGGCTAGGTTAGACTTTTAATCTTAAGGCGAAATAAACTGGGATGGAGATTACTAAAAAATATTTCTAGAGCATTGTTACAAAAGAGGAACTACGTGTTTTGAGTACAGCAATTATAAAAAAAAACTGAAGCCCCCTTCCCCCTCCTCCATCACCACTACCACAGGATGTTCCGGAAAGGGCACAAAGGAACGTATTCTATTGTCCTTAAGTTTATTGTTCGTCAACTGTCCTTGCCCTTGCTCGAGTGTTATAAACGAAGTAATTCAAATGACAGTATAAACAGACTACCCACAACAATGTTTCAGAGGAATAAAATATTCGATAATTGTGTAACATTACAGCAATTTGGCCAATCACCTGAAGAATCACCATCCCAGCTTATTTCACCTAAAGATTAACCACCTAAATAGTGTTAAGGTGGTTAAATCTTTAGGTGAAACAACAGAATAGTCTTCGAATATCATATTTATTAAACTCACCTAAACATAACACCTTCGATTATACCTAGCAGCTTATCCTAAACCATAAACATTTATTTCTGCTTCAAAATATAGCATAACCATCCTGACGTGGGCTAAAAACACACTTTAGTTACACGCTTTTTTCCTACTAATTGTGAGGGAGGTTCCTGAGACTAGAGTAGGCTACCCCGCTGTGTAAATAGACCGGCCGGTGGTAAGGGTGGGGGGTTGGGTGTAGGGTGGCAGGGAGGTAGTGTCTCGCTGGTGAGGGAATGTGACGTGACGGTAGAGGTGGCTGGCTAGTGACTGACACACCACACATGATGACACGCCTTCCTCACATGACTATTACACTTCGCAGCAACGGGATAGAAGCCATTTTCGTCCGTGTGTTTGTACGTCAGACAGAGAGAACCATAAAGGCTTGGGTAATCGCTTTTTGGGTTAAGTAGCCCACATCTCATATTGAATTATCGATAAAATATTCTTATAAGTGAAATAAAAAAAAATATTTACCTTATAGTCATAAAGTTTATTAGACGAGCATAAACACTTTAATAATCACAAAATAAGAATAATAAAGCATTACCAATAGTTACTAAAATAAATCCTGACAGGAATAAAT